ACACACACACACACAGACTCACACGCAGAGGGCCACAGAGACACAAACACACACGGACACACACACACTGAGACTGACACACACGGACACACAGACTCACACACACACAGAGACACACACAGGGACACAGAGACAGACACACACAGACACACACACACACATTCACACACAGACTCATACTAAGACTCACACACACACACAAACACACACATACAGGAACACAGACTCACACACACAGAGACACAGGCACACAAACAGAGAAAGACCCACATACAAAAACACACACACACACACACACACAGAGGGAGGAGTTACACTAACTCGTTAGCATCTGGGTAAACATCGGGATGGAATCTGTCAGCGGCGGGGAAATCTGATTGGATGAGATCACGACCTCACCGGGACGTAATTTGCATGTCATCTAAACGGGAGCTGGAGGGGTCAGGGGTCAGGGGTCAGAGGTCAGTGAGGCGGGCGCCTGCCTCCGATTGGCTGGTGCTGCTCTGCCCCCTTCTGGCCGAATTCCCCCCAAAACGAGCCACTAAAGACGCACCAAACCGTTACAATTCTTATTGTTTTTAATCACGTTAGAGATGAGAAATAAAAATAACACAGAGAGCACGAGAGTGCGGCACACAGAGTGTCTTGGTTAAGGACGTACAGTCTTATTTATACAGATATTTATAGAATAGAACAATTTCTCCCACTTCAGCCTCTGATTGTAACACAGAAATAAACCCAAACTCCCAGAATGAAGCAGGAAGAAAGAAAGAGCTCTCAACAGTCTTCACCTACAATAGAAAACCTCCCGGCCATTTGTCTGTAAAGGTTTATTAATGAGGCTTTCGGTATTACAAAAATAGGATTATAGTCGATTTAGAAGCGGCGAAGGCCCGTAAAGTGGGAGGAGTAGTGACTAAGAAATGACCCCCCAGCAACAAGCGGAAAGTAAACCAGAACCAGAGAGGAGAGTGTTGTACAGCAGTCCGGACGGGGGGTTAAATAAAACCACCGACTAAAGCCGCTAGTGGAGGGGACACGACGGGGTGGGG